GCGGCAAGTGCCTGGGCACCAGCCACCAAAAAGGTGCAAGCAAAGAAAAAGTTAAGTCTGGTGCAACGCGGCTTCTTGCAAAAAATCGTCAAAGCATACAGGACCGTCTCCCTGAACTCGGCACTATTACTTGCCGGGTTGCTGCCACTGGATTTAAGGAACCAGGAGGCAGCTCTCCTCTACGAGATCAAAAAAGGTCATACTCGGCAGGTCATAGGAGACCGGGAGATTGAGAGACGGACACCGTATGAAGAGTCACCACACCCAGCAAAACTGGAAGGAATACAGAATACCAGCTCGGAGGAAAGTGCACAGGCGAATCAGTGGCACGACACAGAGCTAGGCATCTTTACAGATGGCAGCAAGCTCGAGGGAAAAGTGGGTGCGGCCCTATCCCTGTGGAAAGGTACTACTGAGACAAGCTACAAAAAACTCAAGCTAGGAAATTTCTGTACAGTATACCAGGCGGAGCTGTTAGCCCTTCGAGAGGCCACAAAGCTGGCACTACTAAACACCGCGAGAAGCTGCACAATACACAGCGACTCCAAGTCTGCCTTGGATACTATATCCAGGAGTGACAGCCTGCATCCCTTAGCAGTCGAAGCAAGGGCCAACATAGGGAAAGCAAGAGCACAAGGAAAAACCCTTGCGCTGCACTGGGTCAAGGCCCATATCGGGATTGCAGGAAACGAAAGGGCAGACGAACTAGCAAAGGAAGCCGCCCTTAGGTCGAAGACTAGACCACACTATGATGTATGCCCGGTCTCATTCGTCAAGCGACAACTCAGAGAGAAGTCGCTTGAGGAATGGAACCGGAGGTACAAGCAAGAAGAAACGGTGTCCACCACTAAGATGTTTTTCCCGGACGCTATTGAAGCCTATCCTATAATTAAGAAAATGGAAATCGACCAAATAACCACGCAAATACTAACAGGTCACGACGGGTTTGCAGAGTACTTGCACAGGTTTAAGATCAGGGAAAGTCCATCATGCCCCTGCGACCCACTTAAAAATGAGGATGTTACACATATAATGACCGAGTGCCCGATGTATGGAAGTGCGAGGAACGACCTAGAACTGGAAATAAGAATAAAAATTACTAAAGAAAACATACACAATATAATAAGGGATAACGAAAACAGGAAAAAGTTATTAGATTTTGTAAAACAAATAACCAAAAGAGTAAATCAAAGAAACAAGTAAATCAGGGATATTGAGTTTGATACTTAAGTGTATGAATCTCAATACCATAAAAAAGTCAAAATAATTAGTTTAAGAGATAGTGTAAAATCCACTGGTAAGAGGCAAATGGAAACAACGACAATTGATAGACTGTAGGAAGGAAACACATAAGACCAAGAATAGGCTAGAAATAAAAATAGAAATAACGATAGATACATAAGGTAATATAGAAACATAAGCACAATGAAATAGTAAGTAGTACTGTATAAAGAAACAAAGCATTGTAAAGAAGAAATATAACATAAGTAAATGCAATATAAAGAAAGGTAGCGAGCAGTAGTTTGTAAAAATCTAGCAATATGAGTAGTAAAGTATAAAGTAATAAAGCATTGTGTAGTAGTAATATAATATAACTAAAATGTACCGTTAAGAAACGTAATATTATTTAAACAGCAAGCAGTAGTGTTATAAAAGTGTAGTAAACGTACAGTAAGGTATAAATAAGTAAAGTAATGTAAGTAGTAATACAATAAAAGTAAAACATGACTAAGGAACAAGTAAAGTAATTAAGTAGTAATAGTAAGTAGTAGTTCTGTAAGACTGTATCAAACGCAGTAAGTAAGTAAGTAGATAAAGGACAAGGTGAAATGTAATAAGTTTAAGGAAAGTGTACTCAAATCCTTGTTAAAAGAACAACTCAAAAGAGCTAAAAAGGGCCCTGACCTCCCATGCCAGGGGAACAAGAGTAAAGTAAAAGTAAAAAAAAAAAAAAAAAAACCTTTTTTTTTTTTTTTTAACGATGGGAAATGCATCATGCATACTCTCCTTAGGGGAAGCAAGGACAGTTATGTTGGACTCCCGCTCTGAGAAGGGCAGACCTACCAACTAAAACCCATCGGGTGTCCTCCTCTGCCGTCAAATGCTGGATTGCAGGGCCCGCTTAAGCGATTCTGCTGCAACCCAGCCACGGCTACCCCGACCCTGCACAGGGCTGGGGCACACCACGAAGGGACGGGTTTTGTCCCCGTCCTCCGCATGAGTGCCCATGACACCAGTGGGCACTTAGCCTTCGCGGGGCCTCATACCGTTAGGTGACAGACGTCCCCACGTCTGTCACCCGGAGGCCCATTAGGGCGGGAGACGGCGCTCGTGTGCCGCCCGCCTTCTGCCCATGCGACGTCGCCGGATCGGGTCGTAAGAAGCATTCTCCTCCCTCTCCCTTTCGGCGGCCTCCTTCTGTAAGACAAAGTTGATATAGAGTGTCCAATGGTCGTAAAGGCGTATAACAAATACATGGGGGGAGTGGATCTACCAGACATGCTGATCTCGCTGTATAAAATTCGCTTCAAATCCAATAGATGGTATATGGGTATATTTTCCCAGTTGGTCGACATATGCCTTAACAATGCCTGGCTGCTCTCCAGGAAAACGCAGAAAAAGACTATGCCTCTGAAGCATTTCCGGCGAGAGGTTTATGAAGAACTAAAGAAACTAGGTATTTCTGTTGGTCATGAGGTTTCTGTTGAAAGTAAGGAAAATAAACCAACGATTCCCGTGCCCTCAAATCCCATCAAATATGACGACGTTGGACAATTTCCAGATACAAGAAATGAATAAGGTGGTTGTAGACATTTTCAACAGAAAACCAATGTTTTTTTGAAAAAAATGCAACATGACGCTTTGTTTTGTTCCTGGAAGAGATCCTAGAAACTGTTTTCTATCGTTTCATACTAAGAACTAGATTTCAGTATAGCTTTTTTGTTCAAAACCCTTAGTAGGTTTATTTATCCAAAAATTTACAATATTTTCAATTTGTTCTAGTAATATTTATCCGTACCATATTACTATTTTTTTCCATTGTTATTTTAAGGATCAATGTATCTAAAAGAATATGCCATATCCAAATAAAGGATTAAATTTGATTTAATATATTTTTTTTTATTTACACATTCTTACCCTTACATTAGCAAAGTACCACCCAAGGAACATCCATTAACACAAAAGGAACCGAAAAAGATTGGCAATGTTCCATGTGTGGTACATCAATTTTCCGGAAAACTGAAGCTTACAATATTTTTTTAATAATTTTTAAAAGTTCTTTACTGACTTTAGAACAAGAGTAAATCGATAGAATTACCAAATCCAATCAAAAATAGGTCTGCCAATCCAAGGGATAAGGTTAAGGATCGGGTAAGGACCATAATTTTCAAGCACTTGACCTAACATCAAGTATAAACATATTTTAATGGTGGTTTGGTAAGATACGCTTAATTGCTATACATTTATTTATTACAAGTTTTATAAAATAGAGATAGTCAACGCTATCATAACGTAGGTATAAAATAAGCATCTATCGTTTAAATGCATTTTCAAGAAAGAGGGTTTAAAAACGTTTATGCATATCAGAGCCCCTAAGATTAGAATAGTGAAATTGTAAAGGTGAAAAGACGAGTGCGTATGAAGTGGCGTAGCGGCCGGCTCCGTGACGTGGGCCGCAGTCGGCGGTCCGGCGGCGGTGCGGGGCGATCAATCGCGGCGGGGGCGGCGTGACGCGGCCGCCTTGCCCCTCCCCCGCCCTCCGCCCGCCTCAGCCGCGCCGGCGCCCGCCGCCACAGCTCGCGCCGGGCTCCCCTGCAGTGTGGCGCGGCGTTACGTCACGCGCGCACCGATCGTCGGCCGAGGGCAGCTCCGCCACGCTCGGCGGCACGAGCGGCGCCGGTGCCGGTGGTGCGAGGGCTGTGCGGTTGTGCGATGCGTGCTCGGAGGGTGCAGCGGTGGGCGCGTGCCGCGGCGGCGAGCTGAGCGCGCGCGGCGATGCGGCACGCGGCACTGGCGCTGGGCGCGCTGCTGGCGCTGAGCGCGCGCGGCGCCGCCGGCGGCTGCGGCGTGGCCGAGTTCGCGTGCCGCGGCGGGGCGTGCGTGCGGCTGGACGCCTACTGCGACGGCGAGGCGCAGTGCCCCGACGGCAGCGACGAGCCCGCCGGCTGCTCCGTGTGCAACCGCACGTACTATGGGCGCGCGGGCGTGGCGTACGGCGTGGCGCTGCGCGGCGCGCCGAGGGCGCCCTTCCTCTGCCACCTGACGTTCACGGCGGGCGGCGGAGCGCACGGCGACCTGGTGCAGCTGGCGTTCGACGAGTTCCGCGTGGGGCGCTACGAGGCGGGCGCCCTGGACGGATGCCCGGACGGCTACATGCAGCTGTCGGAGCTGGGAAGGCCGTTCACGGGCGGCTCGTGGTGCGGCTCGGCCGATGGCGCCGCACTCTACTACAGCGAGACGGCCACCGTCACCGTATCGGTGAAGCTATTCCGAGCGCGACTCGGTGAACCATTTGGATTCCGGCTACGCTATAAGTTTCTCGCACAGCGCGATGCGATCGTCAGGTCAGTAACTTTTTTAAATAAATAGACCTTAAAACAATTACATGATTTCACTTGGCTTACTTCAAGCACCTCTAAATCTAACATCGTTCCATTACACTTAAGCATATATTATTGTCTCGAGCTGACAAATATCTACGCACAAGTATATAGTAAACAATAGAGAAACAGAAAAATTGATAACTAATCAACTTTTTTAAATACTAGTAGATTGTGACATTTACCAAAATATTTTGCGCTTCGAAAAGAGCGGTTCACTATCAAAACTTTGTGGAATCATAGTTTCCTGATCCACGTCGCGCCACATTCTCATCTGCAACACGCAGCACAAAACAATCAAATTATTACCAGGCCATTGCAGAACCCAAATATGCGATTATTGTGCCAAACAATGTGCACAAACGGAGGCGAGGGTTTCGAATTAGGTTCTATTTGATTATTTAAAAAAAGTTTTAAAATCATCCAGAGTTAAGGGCAAGCTAGTGTTTGAATCGAATATAATAGGTTGGGGAAAAAGTTTCTTCGCATTTTATATGAAAATTCAAAACATTTTTTAATAAAGTTTATTTGCATTTAACCAAAGTTTGTAGGTGCCATTTTGTTCGATAACTTTCTCATATCTTGTAGGTGCTATAGAAATTCTGGGTCTTCTGATCAAAAAACCGCGATAAGTGGTTTTGGCAGTCCTCTCGTGATGTTAACCTGACACTGCCTAAAGAATTCTGAAGAGACCGAAACAAGTAGAAATCTGAAGGTGCAAGGTCAGAACTATATGGCGGATGCATTAACACCTCCCAGTCAAACACTCTTAATTTTTGCTGAGTGTTTTTGCGTTATCATGATGAAAAACTACACCCCTTTTGTTGATTAATTTCGGCCGCTTTCTCTCAACTTCTTGCTTTATTCGAATCAGTTGTTCGCAGTAGAGTTCAGAATCAATGGTCCTGCCTGGCGGTAACAGCTCATAATGAATAATGCCCTTCCGATCCCACCATACACACAGCATTACCTTGTTGCGAGATAACCCGGGTTTTGCCAGAGTTTGTGAAGCCTGCCTTTGACCACGACCTTTTTCACGCGTTCTTGTCGTACGTGATCCACTTTTCATCACCAGTTATCAGGTTTTTCAAAAATGTTTCGGTTTCCTTACGTCCTAATAAAGAATCACAAATGAGTACACGGTTCATTAGGTTTCTTTCAAAGAGCTCATGAGGCACCCAAATATCGAGCTTTTTTGTGTACTCAGATTTTTTCAAATGCGCCAAAACTGTTTTGTGCTCAATACCCAGTTCTTCAGCTACACCATAATTACTGATATGCCAATCTTGCTCCACTTTTTCAAATATCATTATTTTTTCATTTATTTTTTTCCTAAACCGGGTTAACAGCTAAACACAATGTGATACTAATGAGATGACTCTTATGGGACTTTATATATGGGACTTTGTATATATGAGTACCTAAGTGGCAAGCGAGCACGCGGTTCACTTGATGTTAAGTGATAATCGCTGCCTATGGAAATTTGCAACACCCGCAAGCTTACAGATGCGCTGCCACCTTTTGGTAAAGTGGGCACTGGCTATCTTAATCACCAGATGAAGTGCACAACACTTTCATTTCACGCTAGTTTGCTGTGAGGTCGTTGTACATACCTGGACAGACCTACCCATTCTTGCAACGGAAGGCTGTTGCGTGGCCCACAATTTATTTCTTATTTTTAATTTTTAGGAAACACAAAATATCTTTCTACTAAGAGGTTCCATTTTTTTTCTAGAGTCACGTCTCCACTATTTTTTCTAAATTATACTGTTTATTAGTATTTACTGCGTGTGAAAATTTCTTATACAATCGCGTTTAAAAACTTGTAGTATAATGACCGTCTGAAGGTACACAAGATTCAGTATTCAGAGCGAGACAAATTAATTATAAGCCTTTAGAATTTGAATGACTATTTAACATTAAGTGCCTGTCGCTACAAGAGTCATGCTTTTTTCATTACCAAATATTTCACGAATCCATTTTCCCTGTAAGATTAAAAGATAGACATAAATATAGTGTCTGAAGTAAATACTTATTTGAAGATTAACGAATATATAAATTATTTGCGCTTATGCCGATGGGATGGGGCAGAGATGTCTTCTTGGGTCGAGGGACCGCTTATCTCTATTAATGGCTTCTTCTTCACTTCTCTTGACACACATTCCGCGGAGTGAGCCGCCGAATTAAAGCAAGCTTCGTATTCGTGCCTACTATTGTAACTTGTTTGTTGTTCATCAAAATGTTAGGTCCTGAGTCTGCCTGAATGAAATTTATGGATGCGACATTGGCCAAGAATTATTTGACAGTATTGCTTATAAATGTATCAATAATGAAAAGAACATTATTGGAAATTTTATACTTGGAGATATCAATTTCAACTTAATTGAAATGTTAGGTTAATCCTGGCAAATTAATTTTTAAAAATTGTAAAGACAATATAAAGAAAGTAACAAGAAAAAATTCTTTACATTCTCCCCCTTTTTGGGGCGAATGAAACTTATCACTAGATTTCACAGAGGACAGTAAAAGAACATGGTGAGCAATTTATCATCGCATTATGCATCTTTTGCTTGCACGTTAACTCTCCTATTAGACTAGATTATCTATCAATCGATTGGTTTGTTATAAGCTAGTATAGCCTTCTATTTCTACAACCACGTGCCGTTATTTAATGTCTTTACATTTCCTGGTATCAAAGTAAATTAACGACCTTTAAATTAAATGTCTCCGCTGTAAAAAGTCCACAACTTTACTGCGCAACTTGGCAGATGTTAATATATCTTTGTAATCTATTTTTAACCCAATATTTCAATTAATGCAGATTTGCTCACGATGATTTTGTTAACCACCAAGCTTTTAGGTAACCTATACCTACAATTCTTATCTTCTATATTATAAATAGGAAAGATTTGATTGTTTGTATGTATTGAATAGGCTCCGAAACTACTGAACCGATTTGAAAAGTTCTTTCACTGTTGGGAAGCTACATTATTCCCGCTTGATATAGGCTATATTATATTTTCAAAAAAATAGGGATCCTTACTAAAACTTCAATAATGTAACCCAAAGTGTACAAAAATTACCTAAAATATTCTTTACATCGCGTGCGCTGCGAAAAGTATTGATGATAGAATAAAATAATGTACTACGGCTTTGCAGAATACATCATTATTTACAAAAAGTGTCGCGACAGCATATGTCTAACTATTATAGTTATGCCACAATAAGTGTTCTATTATTTTAAAATTTTGATTGAAATGCCGCCGCTAGAAAAGGCACTTTATTTGTATCTTGGTATTAATCCTTATAAAAATAAATTATTCATATTAAAGAATGTTTCAATAGCTTTATACTACTTTTCGAATTATTAAATTCGGACATTCCATTCGAAAGATATCACAAGTTTAAAAATGTTAGTATATTGTAATTTAACTATCCAAACAGCTTAGTGACTGACTTATGCCCAGTTTCCGAAAGGCCAATCAAAGCAGCAATCACATAACACTATGTCAAAAATGATCAGTTGTTAATCTCTTGTTAAACTGCCTTGGGTTTTTGGAAGGTTTGTTCAAGAAAAATTAGCTAATCACTGTATAACCAATGATAATGAATGAAATGAATGATTTATTTCAACTAACTCTTTCTATTGTATAGGTGTTTCTTTTTAAACAAAACTTAAATTAACGTCACGATCCAGTCCTGTCACCGTGTGATTACCAACGTAAAAATCCGAGATATAATAAAATTTAATTTATATAAATACATGCAAAATGTCAAAAAAAAAGTACTTTTATCCATAATAAGCAAGTAAGTATTATAAAAAGAAAGAATCCATATTATTTATTTACTTTTGAATTGCATTTTGTATTTTTTCTAATCACATGATATGTTCGCATAATAATAAATAATAAATAGTTAATAGAACACATGAATGTTCTAACAACGTATTAGGGAATTATGTTTATTTTTAATAAAAACTAAGATTTTTGATAAATAACATTTTTAACCAACGATTGATCGTCCAAATTGACAGATTACTTAATAAAGCTCGTTGACCACCGAAAAGCGCTTTCAGAAACTCGATTTTCTGTTGATTGTCCGTTAATCAGTGACTAATTGCAAATCAAAATCAATGTTGTTTAAGACGTTCTATCAACTCAGATCAGTTAAATAACGATTGACAAGAGATTTATCGTAAATTAAAATTGATTGCGCTTTCGGAAACTGGGTGTTAGTGGTTCTTATAATTTTTCAATCACATTTATACTGGTAATTCCTGTTTAACAGATAGCAAATATTTAAGTACAAAGGCAGTTTAATTTTTTTATCATTTTAAAATGGCCAAAAGATCAAGATCTCATCTTTTTAGAAATAGTTCCCAGGCGAGGGCATCAAAAATACGCCGTAATGAAAAATCTTTACCGGAAAGTGTAAATCGTCTTACAAGTCAGAGAGAGTCAAGTAGAGCGGCTTAAAGAGCAAAATAATATAAATATACAAATTCACACTCGGGAATCAAGCTCTGAGCGTTCCCAACGCCTACGAGATGAGAGAGAAAGACAACAAACGTCAACGACTAGAGTTCGTAATCGACTTTTAGCTCACAGTAACAGATCAGCATTAATGCGTTAAGCTCAACAGTCTTCCGTCCAAATCGGAGCAATGAATAAGATCTGCTGTAAGTGTTCTGCCAAAAAATGGGTCGATGAACCAAAAACCAAATACGGTATGTGCTGTGCTTCTGGAAAAGTTAGTCTCCCCAATATTGAGAAGCACAGCCAATAAAAATCTTTTGACAAATAATCAATCACCATCGGGACATTTTTAACCAACATCCGAAAGTGCAATAGCCCTTTTCAAATGACTTCGTTTGACGATAACTTTTAAAATAGAGGGACAAGTATACAAGTATCATCAATATACAACAATCATCATCCTCCTGCCTCCTAGGTGGGGTCGGCACA